TCTAAAAAAAAAAAAAAAAAATTAGTGTGGGTGGTGCCCGTGGCTCAGTGAGTAGGGCACCATCCCCATATAGAGGGTGGCAGGTTCAAACTGGCCCCAGCCAAACTGCAAAAAAATAGCCAGGCACTGTGACAGGTGCTTGTAGTCCCAGCTACCTGGGAGGCTGAGGCAAGAGAATTGCTGAACCCCAAGAATTTGAGGTTGCTGTGAACTATGATGTCACAGCACTCTACCGAGGGTGACTCTGTCTTAAAAAAAAAAAAATTAGTCAAGTATGGTTGCATGTGCCTGTAATCCCAACTATTCAGGAGGCTAAGACAGGAGGATTGCTTGAACCCAGAAGTTAAAGGCTGCAATGAGCTATAATCACACCACGCACTCTACGCTGGGTGACAGAGCAAGATTCTATTTCTAAAACAACTAAATAAATAACAAAACTAACTAAATAAAAACCTAGGGGAAATCTGAAATTTTAGTATTTTGTTGAAGTCATTAAGAAAGAGAATGTTTGGAACTGTATATACAGAGGGTGCCAAAAAAAGGTACACACATTGTGAGAAAGGAAAAAAATGCATTAAAATTGTAATATTCAAGTAATATTTGACTTCTGCAATTACAAGAGGTGCTCAAACATGACTTGTGCTCGTGTTTTGTTATTGGTATATAATGAGTGTTAAAATTTTTTAATAGACTTTTCTATTAATAGACTTTTCTTTTAATACTTTTTAAATAGACTTTGAACAGCTTTTTCAATAAAAGCAGAAGAGTGTTAAAATTTCAATATAGTTGTTTTCCTTTCTTAACATGTGTCTATATTTGTTTGCACCTTCTGTAAAGGAGAAATAAGAGTACTCAGGAGAACATCTAAATTTACAGGGCAGATGGGGAGGAGATATAAGTGCCAAAGACCCGGAAGAAGATCAGACAAGAACACGAAAGATGAAACTAAAAGGGCACAAGACTGAGTGGGGCTGGGCACCTGTAGCTCAGTGGTTAGGGCTCTGGCCACATGCTCTGGAGTTGATGGGTTTGACCCCAGCAGCCCAGGTCTGCTAACCAAAAAAGAAAAAAATTGCCAGGCCCCTGTAGTCCCAGCTACTCAGGAGGCTAAGACAAGAGAATTTCTTAAGCCCAGGAGTTGGAGGTTGCTGTGAGCTGTCATGCCACAGCGCTCTACTGAGGGTGACATAGTGAGACTCTTGTCTCAGAACAAACAAACAAACAAAAAGGACTAATTCAGGCCTCTGGCCCGGCCCATGCCTGTAATCCCAGCACTTAGGAGACCCAGGCTTGCCTGAGCTCATGGGTTGAGGACCCTGTCTCTAAAAATAGCCGGGTGTTGTGGTGGGCGCCTGTAGTCCCAGCTACTCCGGAGGCTGAGGCAAAAGAATCTCCTGAGCCCAAGAGTTAGAAGTTGCTGTGAGCTGTGATGCCATGACCCTCTACTGAGGGTGACAAAGTGAGATTCTGTCTGTCTCTCTCTCTCTCTATATATATATATGGGAAAAAAGGGGACTAATTCAGGAGAACTTATAGAAAGAAAGACCTTCTTTCTTACAGATGAGAGGAAGGAAGTGAGGTGAGAGGGAGGCTGGGAAATTCTGCCCAACTGGAGAGAAGCTGTGAGAGGCAGGCCAGAGGCTGAGGTAACTGCATATATGGAGGAGGAACCCTCGATGAGGGACGAAAACAATGAATAAAAAATAGGACTGCCCACCAAGGAACTTCTTTGAACATGTAAAATTTGTAATATGAGTGCTGTCTACACTATTTTCCATGTGCATGAATCCTTTGAGTAGATACAGTTACAGGAGCAAAAAGTGTACTGGCTGTTCCAAGCAGCTTACCCAAACGAACTGAAGCATGAAGAAGACAAATAAACCCTTCTGATTGGTAGCAAGATAGAGTATCATCTGGTGTTGAAGCCAAGTTATACTGATTATTTTTGATCTGGTTGTTAATTTGCCGTCATTACTTTTGGCTGAGTCATTCCTGGGTCCTAAGTAGAGACCGCCAGATTTACCACGTGAGAGTAAAACATTATGCTATCAAAATAATTAGATTGGCCACAAAAACCATTCCGGAAAGATACTGCGTAGCAAAAAAGTATTAGCGGGGAAAAGCACGGAGAGAGGACGCAGCCATACCTGGGGCCCGTACGGAGCAGGCGAGCGTGCTAAGAAAGGCTATCAGCAGACCCACCGCCGCTAAGCCCGCGGACACTGGAATCCTGCCGCAGAACCACCCAGGGGCACATCTAGGGGCTCCGTCCTTTGCCAGAGAAGGGCACGCCCTGGGGTGCATCGTTTCGGAAAAATTCAAGTCCTTCTTTGATGGAACCCCAGAAAAACCTCCTCTGCCCCTCCCTTGTTCCCCAAGGGCAAGGTTGGACTGAGCTACAGAGTTGGAGGGACACCAGGTCAAGTGACATTCAGGCCGACCACACCCGCTGCCCCGGCCGCCCGCCACGCGTGCGGACTGCGCCTGCGCGTGCCTCCCAAGCCTCTCGGCCGGGTTCGCAGCCAGAGGCCGGGCGGGGTGCACCCGGCGAAGCGGTCTCCCGGCAACAAGAGTAACAGAGTCCGGTGCAGCGCGCCTGCGCGGCCGGCAGTTGGGGGGGTGGTGCTCGGGTCTGGGAAACTAGATCTTGGGGTTTCTCCTAAGCAGGAGAGGTCCCCGAGAGTCTCAGGTACGCGGAAGGGCGGGAAGACATGAGGTCAACACCTCGACCTGCTGAGGGGTGGCAGGAGAGCGAGAGCTTGCCCCGAAAGGTGGAGTCCTCAGTGGGGGCTCCCTGGTTGACCCTCCTGGACAGAATGTGACTTTCGCGTTCCGGATCCAAACCGGCCGCGGCTAGGTTAGATGGCCCCTCACTCCCCCAGGCTACAGACTGTCAATCTCTGCGCCACTGGGCCTCCTTGGATGAGGGTTTGACAGCCAGACACCTGCTCCAGGCCGTGAGCGGTCTCTGTGGTGTTTGGAGTCAAGCGCAGGTCCAGCAGGAGGGTCAGCTCTGAGAGCTGTTTGTGCCAGTCACTACTTCTGGGCTGCATCTTTCTCACCTGTAAAAATGGGGTGGACTCAGGGAACCCTTCAGTTTAGAGTTTACAGGAACTTGGGCCAGCAAGGGAAAGTTGCTTCTCCTGTGTTCACAGGCCTAAAAACTGACTTTCAATCCAATGTTCTTCCACTTAGTACAGAGTATACTATGTGTGGTGGAGGCTGGTGCTGGTGGAAAGCTAGGTGGCAGGAACACTTCTGTCACCTTCATTTTTCTCTCAGGGCCTAACGCAATATCTGGCACATAATAAATAGTCACTCACCAAATGCTTATTGAACAAAAGCAGATCCAGCACCACCATCCATGGAAAAGTTTAAGGGAAATGTGGGCAGGGCAAATGTATAAGCAGTTTACTTCAGCAGCTTAGAGTGAACCTCAGACAAACTCTTCACGTGTATCTGGTTTAAATCTCCCCTAGGCTTCAGTCTAGGCCTTGAATGGCTGGTCTCCAGTTGGCACCACATCTGCCTGTGGGTGGTATGCTCCCACATAATAAATCAGAAGCTCCAGGGCTCCACTCAGCAAAGCAAGACCCTTATGAACAAGGTGACTCTTCCCAGCAGTCATCGATGGGGCACCCGAGGAATAATTTCCAGCAGAAGTTTTTCAGCAATAAAAAGCTGATGTTGGATAATGTCTACACTCACCCAAAATGGAACACCTGCACTAAACCCCGGAGCTATTCCCATCCCCGCCGTACAGGAGTCAACAACCAGCATTCAGGAAGCAATCCCCAGGGCCAAGAAGGGAAAGGTTTGTTTTACTCATCGGTTTCTCAATCCCAGTATTCCAAAGCAAATAACCAGGACTTTATCCCCTTTACAAAGAAACGAGTTGGGGTAGACCGGGCCTACCCACTGAAACCTGTGGTCCACCAGAAGTCTCGCATTATAAGTGAGGTTGGCAGTGCTGGGGACCAGAATGTCAACAACCCAAGGTCCCTGGAGCCAAGAGAGTTTTCATACAACAACTTTGGTTTGAGGAACCAGGACAATTCATCTATGGTTGGTAATGTTCTTGCTGCCATGCACGGGGAGAGGGGCATGGCAAACTTTGACAGGACCAAGTGGATGCAGATCCAAAAACTAGAAGCTGCCGGGGAGAGCTTAGAAGAGGAAATCCGAAGAAAGGAGGTTCTCCTGAGGGAAAAGCTGAAGAGGACAGAGGAGGAAATCCGAAGGATACAGAAGAAAAATGAAAGCAGAGAGCTAGAGAGAACGATACTCTTCAGGGGGAGCATTAAAGATAGTAACAGCGACACCATGTACAAACCTATCTTCTCCCCAGAATTTGAGACTAAGGAGGTGTTCAGTAGAGACCAGAGAGAGGATGAAACTTGGCAACAATCTCAAGAAAATTCTAGTCCTCTCCAGTTCTATGATTATGGAATCCAGGGTCTCAAAAGGGAGAAGCTGGTGGCAAGCGATAACAAACTCCAAGACCAGGTCTCAGAACCATCAACAGAGTTTTTTCAGCCTTCAGAAACACCAGGCAGTGCTTTGCAGGGATACACCAGGAATTCTAGCCTACCCAAGGCACCAGACTCCTCAGGTTCCAGCGGCTCCTCTGAAGTGCCAGAACTGGGCAAATGCAGCCACTGTGGACGCAAGTTTCTATTGCTCAGGCTGGAGAGACACTCAAAAGTCTGCAGCAGGATACAGGGTTCCAAGAGGAAAGTGTTTGATTCTTCCAGGGCCCGGGCAAAGGGCACAGAACTAGAGCAGTACTTGAACTGGAAAGGATCAGCTTCAGTCAAGGTAACAAGATTTAACTTTGTATGTGGAATCACTGGAAGGGTCTTTTATGTCCTCACCAATTTTCTTTAGGGAAAATTCATGTGTCATGTAGGAAAAAGGTGAAAATTAACATTTCTTGATTTCAGGTATTGCTGTGTGCCACTCACGTCAATGGGGGCTTTTCATGTGATCCTCAGCACTCTGTGAGAATTTCATTCTCTCTCAATTTATCAATTCAAAAATCAAGGCTCAGATAGGTTAAGTAACTTACTGGAGTTCACAAACAGCTTTACTCAGGAAATCTTGGTTGAAATGACTCCAAAATCTAGATTTAAAATACATTTTTTTTGATTACAACAGTAATAAACCTTTACTATAGAAAATTTAAAAGACACAAAAAATCTAAAGAAAGAAAATACACAGCATTTCATCATCTGGAGTGAATTCCTTGCTGTTTGCAGTATGTTCTACTACCTCCCAAGATTAGGGTCTGTTATCATTGCTTTAACTGTTTCTACCCTTTCAAGATTAGCTCAGTTTTGTTATCCTTAGTAAAGACATGATACACAACTAAGTCTATAGTTCTTTTTCTCCCCATTTAGAGTGTAAACACCTTGGGAATAAAAGACTTTGTTTTTTGTCTATCTCTCAAAACATTCTTCCCTTTAGTAAACTATGGTTGTGAAAAATAAGGATTTTAAGACACTTAACATGGTAAGTTTATTTGAACTTTACAGGAACATTTGGAAAGATCTGGAGAAGACTGTCTCATAAATAAGCTGTTAAGGTTATGCCACTGGGTTTGTAAAAAGGTTGTTTCTCAAAGTGTGATATGCTGACAAACATTTTTAATTTGAATATCTTTGGAGTGTATTAGAAAAATAAAACAACATACTAAGACCTTGATTTCCAGGAATCATGAATTTAAAGAAAAATGTTAAGTAATTAATCATGAAGTAAAAGTTAAATAATTACTTAATAGTTAATTAAGTGGTATGCAAATGATTAAAATTTGGTACTGCCTAGACCATATGATCTCAGAGGCCCCCATCTTGTTGTATTATTTTAGAAAAATAAGAATGCCATTCTGGGGCGGCGCCTGTGGCTCAAAGGAGTAGGGTGCCAGCCGCATGTGCCAAAGGTGGCAGGTTCAAACCCAGCCTTGGCCAAAAACTGCAGAAAAAAAAAAAAAAAAGAATGCCATTCTGTTTTCACGTCTTTCCAACCCTCCCTCTGCTGTGCTGTCCATCAGGGTTTTACTATTTGTGTATTTTCTGGGGCTTTAAAAACTTACATTTATGTGATAGCTATTAGGGAAGTTGTTTACAATTAGAGTCCTATCTTTTCAGTATAATTTGGGAGATCACCACAGGAACATTTCTTCTATGTTCAGAGATAATCTCCCTGAAATCTAGCTTCCAAAAAGAAGTCAACATTTTGCTTTTGCAGATAATCATATGATGGCTAGTTACTGTTCTTTCCTATTCTCTTTCTGGTCTACTCAATAATCCACGGGGAATTCACTCCGGTCCACTATAGTGATTTATTTTGGCCAGAACCTAAGGGAATCATGTGTTTCTTTTTTTGTTTTGTTTTGTTTTGTTTGAGACAGTCTCACTCTGTTGCCCAGGCTAGATTGCTGTGGCATCAGCCTAGCTCACAGTAACCTCAAACTCCTAGGCTCAGTGCAATCCTCCTGCCTCAGCCTCCTAAGTAACTGGACTACAGGCATTCACTAGAATGCCTGTCTAATTGTTCTATTTTTGGTAGAGATGGGGTCCTGCTGTTGGTCAGGTTAGTCTTGAACTCCTGAGCTCAAGGAATTCTGCCTTGGCCTTGCAGAGTGCTAGGATTACAGACATATGTGTTTCTTAAATTCCTAAGTTTTATAGCAGTGAAGCAAAGAATTGGTTTCTGAAATCAGATGCCCCAGCTTTGAGGTAGAAACTAGTTTGGGGACTGTGTGGCATTGAAGACACCTAGGCAGAAGGGACATGGATTCAGATGCACCCCACTGCTAGGAATCTCTCAAGACTTCTTCCACAGCTGTGAGCCATTGAAGGCTGAGTGGTTGTATTGTCATGTACTTCTTACGGTTTACTCACAAGAGGAGGTGATTTTCCTGGCATCTTTTAATCTTTACATAACTTCCAGCAGACTTATACCTCTTGGCTTTCTGTTGGATGTTCAATGACAGAGAATATACGTCTGTGTTTGGTGTTTAATAAGTGTTAATTGAATAAAATTTCAGTATGATGCAGAATTAAAGTATAGGAACTTCCTCTAATTAATTCTTTTAAAGGTTCCTGGATACCACCTCTAAGATACTCTCTTGCCTGTTGTCTACTTCAGTAAATGACTTTCTGATGGATTCTTCCTTTTTCTTTGATAGTATCTCTTCTTATTATTCAGTATTAATGATGACAGATTATCAGGACTTATTTGTCTTTTTTTTTTTTTGCAGTTTTGGCCAGGGCTGGGTTTGAGCCCACCACCTCTGGCATATGGGGCCGGTGCCCTACTCCTTTGAGCCACAGG